ATCGTGCGGTAGGTGCCCAGCCCACTTAGGTAGACCACCTACCTGCTAGGTGGTCTACCTTTCCATAGGTAGACCACCTAGCGGTTAGGTGGTCTACCTAATACCGCTAGGTGGTCCCACCGCACGATCACCGAGTGATCGTGCGGTGGTTAAGGCCTCACCGGGGCCTAGGACACTTCTAGGCCCCGGTACCTACCGCACAATCACTCGGTGATCGTGCGGTAGGTGGCCAGGCCACCTAGGTAGACCACCTACCTGCTAGGTGGTCTACCTATGGAAAGGTAGACCACCTAGCGGTTAGGTGGTCTACCTAACCGCGGTGTGCAACCCACCGCACGATCACTCAGTGATTGTGCGGTAGGTGGCCAGGCCATCTAAGCGCTAGGTGACCTAGCGCTTAGGTGGCCGCGTCATCGCACGATCACCGAGTGATCGTGCGATGGCTAGGTCACTTAACCGCTAGGTGACCTAGCCACCTAGCGGTTAAGGGGTTGATCGAATTGATCAATCGATTCGATCAACCCCATCTTCCAACACCACCTTCCACTCTCCAACTCCACCATCACACCGATCGAAAGCCGTTCGATCGATCGTGACCTTTTTGGAACCCGTCGATAAGGACACAGTTAATCAAATCATCAATAGAACAAATTCAAAAACACTTTCACTAACAATATGATTCTTTTTTCTCTCCTTTTCTTTTTTTTTTCTCTATTTCACATCATCAAAAAAGTTTAGGTTACAATCAATATCAGGTCTTCATCATATTATAATACCATCAAAACAAGATAAACAAATCCACATCATTTGAATCAATAAACAAAATCAAGTCATTTGAATCATCAATTTAATTTTTTACATTTACAAACTCATCAGAACAATATAAACAAAATCAAGTCTTTTGATTCTTCAAATTTGTTTGATTTGTTTAATATTTTACATCTATAACCTCATCAAAACAATTTAAACAAATTCAAAACTTTTGAAACATCAAATTAGTGTCATTTTTTAACTGTTATAAACTCATCATAACCAGATAAACAAAAAAAACTTTGACTCATCAAATTAGTGTTTTTTTTACTGTTATAAACTCATAGAAGGGAGATAAACAAAATCAAATTACTTGAATCATCAATTTGTTAACTTTTTTAACTCAAATTTTTAACTTTATTTTGGATTTTTTTAGTTTTTTATATTCATTTCTTTGGAATAATCAAATAAAATTGATAACCTAGTTTCAAAAAAATTATCAAGTCAGTATTCAAACACCTGAGCGACAATCATTTCAAATAAACTGATACATACCTCAATAGATATGCCATATGAGAACCGTCCATCACCTCCTCACATGAATTTCAGTGAGGAGAAAAGTCAGGCCTCTTCTGTAGACTCAGATTCGGACCAGGACGAACTCCAGATGAAGAATAACCCCGCCTCACAGCCGAAATTTCCTGCTCCGAGTTTCCAAACTTTCTCTCAAGCACCGTCAGTTCCAGGTCCTCTTGATGCGGTTCAACAAGTTGGTTTATCCGATCACGAAGTCCAGGAAATCTCAAAGGAAGAATATTACCGGAATGTGAACTCGACTTCGGCCATCCTCAAGGAACAGCTTAAAGTTGCTGGTCTTCCTCCTCGAGTTTATGATTTGATTGAACAAGCTGGAAAGGAATGTGATAACGCTTTTGAAGGTTGCTATTGTTCATTTACTTCTTTCTTTTTGGGTGCTTTCTGACCTCTTTTCTTTTGCAGACTTAGAGCGAGGAAAACGTCCACCAACTCGACCCAATGTGAAGGTCATCTGGATTCAAGATGACTCCCCGCCTCCGCCCAACCGAAGGCGTTCTGAACGTACCCGCGAAGCCGCTCCCAGCTACTCCGGCACTCAGATGCGCTCAAAACGGACCCGTTTGAATCTTAGCTCGAAACCCAAAGACCCAATCAATGAACATGATTTGAATGAGGATGCCGAAGGAGACGATGATTCGAATTCTGGTGGCCATGAGGACGAGGAAGACGAAAAATCAAATGATGAAGTTGTTCAACACAAGTCTCAAAATGAAAAAGAACCAGCAGAACATCAAGATCAAGACAAACTTTCAACCTCAGATGAACTAGATCTTCCCCCGGTCAACTTATCTCAAAAATCTCTACGGAAAGGAGTCATTCGATCAACCTCTTCAGACTTAGATGGAGAACCAATCTCCTCAGCACTATCGTCTCCACCACCCGTCCCGGAACCTTCTCCTGGCCCATCTTCCGAACTTGAGGATGAGGAAGATGGGTTAGGGAAAATCAGGGAGCCCCGAAGCTCACCGGCTCCTGAATAATCTCCGGCCCACGAAAAATCTCAGGTTCCCGAACAGCCTCCGGCTCCCAAACGCTCTCCGGCTCCCGAACAGCCTCCGGCTCCCAAACGCTCTCCGGCTCCGGTTCCCGAAAGATCCTCTGATCTGCCTTCGAGATTGCCTGCAGAAGTTCTCGGCGACCCCCATCCGGTCACTACGGAGGCATCCGAACGTAATACCAGCGACATGGGACCTGGTTCGAACCGTAATGAAGATATTGAAATGGAGGTTGGATCCCCGGTGGAACCAATTACTCAGCTCATCAAGAACCAAATTGGTCAGTTTGTATTTTACGTTCGGCCAGGTCATAACCAGGGTAAGAACTCTGTGAAAACACTATTTTAACTTTTCCTCTCTTTTTGACCATTCTCGTCTCTCATAGAAACAAATGTCCAAGTCACACCATGTGAAGACGAAATGGATCTAGACATTCCAGTCTTTGACACAACTGAAGTGGCAGCTATTCCAGCCAACTTACCTCCCGCAATCTCGGAGACGGATTTTATCCTGAAGCATCAAGAAGTTTTCTGTCAAAGTTTCACCGAATTTCCAGCCAAAAAGATGTCTTCAGCTACCTTTGCCAAAGGTAGAGACAGTGCTTTCAACTTGATCACCATGAGGCTTGAACATATTCCTCTCTTGGAAAAGCCATCTTTCCAATTACCTCCGGGAACGTGTTTTTCGGGCAGCAAGATGTCTAATTCAGCATGGCTTGAATTTGTTAATGAGCCAGGTTAGTGCGTATGATTTATTGAA